GGCCCCTCCCTGGCTACAGGCCTCAGGAAGGGAGTTGAGTCCCTATATGCATTGTTTGGGAAGATCATAACTGTGCATTAAGACTCCTTCCAAAAAACCTAACTCAGTGCCTGTTGAGTCAGGTGCCACTCATAGGGACCCCTCCTTGGGTTAACAGTCAAATGCCTTAGGCATTATGCCACCAGAGCTCCCTAAGACTCCTTAGGAGGAAGTATATCAAGACTTGAGCTTTGACTATTTCCTTTGACTTGAATCCACAATCAATGACCATGGAAACAGCAATCAAGAAATCAAATGACATATTGCTTGGGCAAATCTGCTGCAAAAGGCCTCTTTAAGTGTTCAAAAGTAAAGATGTCACTTGGAGGATGATGGTGTGCCTGACTCAAGCCATGGTATTTTCAATTGCCTCACACGACATAGTATCTAAGGCACTTGACTGCTAACCAGAAGGCTGGCTAGTGGTTCAAACCCACCAGTCACTCCTCTGAAGGAAGATTGGGCAATTTATTTCCGTAGAGATCCCGCCTTGGAAACCCAAGGAGGGGTCACTATGAGTTGGATCCAACTCAAGGACAGTGAGTTTGGTTGTTTTTTGTTTTGGTTTGGTTTGGTTTGGTTTGGTTTGGTTTTGGTCACATGCCTGTGAGGGCTTAACAATGGATAAGGAGAATGGAAATGGAATTGATGCATTTGATTTGGCAAAGAATATTGAATATCACAGACTGCCAGAAGAATGAACAAATCTGCCTTGGAAGAAGTACAGCCAGAATGCTCCTTAGAAGCGAGAATGGCCAGACTTCATCTCACATACTTTAGACATGTTATCAGGAGGGACCAGTCCCTGGAGAAGGACACCATGCTTGGTGAAGCAGAGGGATGGCAAAAAGGGGAAGCCCCTCAGTGAGAGGGACTGACTCAGTGGCTACCACGACGGGCTCAGGGACAGCAAGGATTGTGCGGCTGGTGCAGGGCCTGGCAGGGTTTCATTCCCTTGAACCTGGGGTCCCTGTGAGTCAAAGCCGACTCGATGGCACCTGACAAGGCTCCAGTTATGCACATCCATTGAGGTCCCAATGACTAGGGGGCTCTGGTCCTTGGAGGGCTCTCTTTGGGGCTTTTGGGATCAGTGAGAACTTTCATGCAACAGAGAGAGGACAATGGACCTCTCCCAGACCTTGCCCAATGAGTCTGTATGCTTTGAAACCTTTCTGGTCATAATAAATGGGTAACTGTAAGTACAGGTATTCTGTACGAATTCTGTGAGTCATCCTAGAGAAGTCTCCAACCCACCACAGGCATGAGAACTGGCAAAGAGGCTGGTGTTTGCCTATTTGGGAGGGGCTGGAAGGACCAAGTCCTAACATATGGAGACCTGACTCTGGATGGCTAGGGTCAGAAAGAGAGTGTCGTGTGTGTGTGTGTGTGTGTGTGTGTGTGTGTGTGTGTGTGGCTGGTGTCAGGATGAGGTGGGAAGTGGGGATATGAGTTATCCGCACCTTTTGGAAATTTGCCTTATGTTGGCTATTATTCACCAAAAGTCCTGGTCATTCATGTGGACACCAGCTGGCTGGCCGATCACTGTCACAGAGGCCAGGTCCTGAGCCCCTCCCCCACTGGGCCTCTGTCCCCTGGCCAGTGGCCACTCATCCTTCAGTGCTTGATGAGTGCTTCTTGGGAGCCAGGCGGGTAGCTCCACGGTGTGGCCACCTGGGAGCCAGACAGGGCCCTGCGCTCAGAAGGGCCACAGGCTTAGCTTAGTGTAACACTCCATGGTGACATTCTCAATCATCTATGAACAAGAGCCCCCATTTTCATTTTGCATTGGGCCTAGGCATACAGCCATGAGCAGGCCCATGAGGTGGGAGCCATCAAGGAGATGGCTTTCAGGTGGTGGAAGGACCAGGAACCTGCAGTGAGGCTTGGGGCAGGAAGAGAGACAGATGGGCCCTGTTGAAGGAGTTGGAGGAGAGAATGAAATGACCCTGATGTCACTGATCCGAATCAGAGACAAGCATTCCAGACTAGCAAATGCTCAGGGCCTGAGGGTAGGAGGAGACAGAAACAGGGCTCTGTCCCCCAGGTCCTATCCAGGCCTTGAGAGCTGCAAAGTTGCTGTAACCACTCTGCCTCGTCCAATGCCAGCAGAGATGAATGGGGTCTCTTTCCTCCAGTCAGGCTGCCCCTGCAGCAGTCTCTGCGTCATGGCCCCCTCTCCAATCTTTTGGGAGGTCTTCATGCACCAGGGAGGCTGGGGCAGAGGGGAGTAGGCTGGTGCTGCAATTTGCATATGAAAGCCACTGAGAATTATCAGCGCCCCTCCTCTCCCTGGATATTTATCCTGGAAGCAAGCATTACAGTTCACCCTCTGGGCCTCTCAGCTGAGCCCAGCACACACCAGATGCTTAATAAACACCTGTTGGATGGGCAGGAATGACCACAGCCAATGCACAGTGAGCCCACTGACCAGAGCTGACAGTGGCAGCTCTCCGAGGCAGGCATTCCTCTGGGTGCCATCTTGTCTCCTGCAAGATGAAGACACTACCAAAAAAAAAAAAAAAAAAA